GACATTATGCTGAGCGTGTTTGGAAAAAAATTCCCATTACTCCAGAGCAGTGGTTCACAACTGATTTTTGGCTATTCCCAACTTCGATATCTTTAAAATTCTGGTCTCCCACTGTAATATTTAATTTTTACATATTCAAACTTTTATTACAATTCACGTGAAGGAAGTTTTTGAGGAAACGACTTTAAATGTTAAGTTTACGTTCAAAATTGGAGGGTTAGAATTTCATTTCAGTGATCAGTGAAGCCTTATAAAGTATATAATTTAAATATATGCAATTACTTCGTTTGAATTTAAAGTGGCTAATACATTCCATAACCAACAATTGTATATCTTCAATATGGTTCAGAGAATAAAGCAATGAATAAACAAAATACAAAATGTTAACGTTAAAATTTACACCACAATACATGGCGTCCATGAAAGAGAAAAATTAAAAAAACAACAACAAAAAGACAGTTAAATATATATAGTTTCAAAATATAATAGAGAAAGGCAGAAACATAAAATATTTGAATGAAATCTTATTGTATAATATACTCTAGGTATTTTAATCATGAAATAATAATGACAATTTGAGCCGCATGATACCTATCCTACGAATGCCCCACCCAAATGTTACCATGCCCCACCGTTGGGGAATGCTCCTAACGTTGGAAATCATTAGTCTTGAAGCATATATAAAATATAGATATTCAGTTAAAAAAAATAGAATAAAAAAAACCCCTTGACCATGGCTAATAGAATAACCGAAAGAACTCGGTTATGTGAAAAATTCGGGTACTTTTTAAACACTTTATGCCCAGGAAGAAAATCACTTATACTATCACAACCATAATTGAGTAAAATGCTTAATTGCAGTACCTTGACGTTCATCTTTACGTTAGGACACGTAAACGAGAAGATATAAATATTTCGAGAGTCGGATAAAAATTTGGGTTTATAAGGCGCTATTCAACTCTACTCGATCGACCAGACACTCTGTGATTGAGTCGGTATAATCACGTCCGATCTAACCACAGTTTTTCTTGTCAAGAGAAATGCAGGTTCAAAGAAGAGCATATTTATACTTAATAAGATTTCCAGAATATTTATTCAGGTAAACGAAAATAAATAAATATACTGTTTAATAAATAAACGAAGCTTTTACTCAAATAGATGTATCCACTAAAAATAGCGTTTAAGTAATAAAATATATATGTGCGTTTGTGTATTAAAATATTGGTAAAATTATCTGTCTATATTTCTGAGATGAGGTATTATATATATTATTTAAATTATTCGGACTACTGTCCTCATTTTTGTCGCTGTATTTATTACAATATTTCGGCCGTTGTACGCTCCGGCCCTCTTCAGGTGGCTGGAATGTCGAACTGAACCCTTTATTTCGCTCACTGGGGTAGACTGTTCTAGTTCCACGTGCCATGTTTAATGAATTTCAGTTATCAGTTATCTCCTGTTAATTCCTCTCTGAAACTTCTCCACTGCCTTAGCCGGGTATTGAACTCACACTCTTTGGATAAAGTGGATAAAGGCATTAGTTAGATCCAGTGACAGGAACCAAAGAGTGTGAGTTCAATGCCTGGTTAAGGCGGTGGAGAACTTGGACAGGGGGAATTAATAGGAGATAATGCTGACAACTATTTTTTCCTGGTAATATTTTTGTTTTGTCAAAAATCTATTTCTGGAAATATTTTTTTTTTCCTCAAAATTTCATAACTAGTAATATTATTTTCAAAAACGTATTGTTGGTAATAGTCTTTTTTTCTTCAAAAAAATTATTTCTGGTAATAATTTTACAATGTATTTCTGGTATTAAAACTTATTTTTGCACTTTTAAAATACTTTTTACCTCAGTTTCGGGGGTTAACTATTTGCCCATAGCTGAGACCCTAACAGGTGCTACCACCCCGGGTCAGGGTGGACCTGGGAACACCAGCAATTAAAAGATGGTTCTACGTTCCTCAAAGCCTCCTGATCAGAGACCTTGTTGTTGGACGGAGTTTATCGTCTTACCCTGGACGCGGATGTAGTTTATCGTCATACCCAGGACGGTCAAAATTGGAGGGTTAGAATTTCATTTTGCTAATCAGTGAAACCTTTATAACACAGTCCTATAAAGTATATAATTTAAATATATGCAATTACTTGGTTTGAATTTAAAAGGGGTAATACAATCCATAACCAACAATTGTATATCTTCAATATGATTCAGAGAATTAAGCAATAGATAAAGAAAATACAAAATGCTAACGTTAAAAATTTACAGCACAATGCGTACATATTGGCAAATGAATTGATGGTAAATTAAGAGGCTATAAAAATGACCCATTAGATAAATAAAGATTTATTCATACTTAATTAGCCATGTCAAGTTTTTACTTATTGAATACAGTCAAAAGTATTACATACGTTGCTTGTAGTGATTTCTAAGTAGAATTCTGGTTTAAATACATTTTCTATTCAATTTATCTAATACAAAAATATTAACGTTATTCTGATTTATTCTTGAAATAGTAAAATTTTGAAGTCATTTTGTAAGAAAAAACCTGCGAAATATAGTTATTTCTAAAACAAAATGAAATATCAACATCCTCTAATTTACAACAGTGTAATTCAGTTATCCAGTGACTTGCGTTTCTCTTAGGTCTGATGTTAGATGCTCAGTATTATATATAGAAAAGTAATATCTACCTTAATTCGCAATCATCGAATATTTCTTTTTTACCTTTTCAATGCAGAGTAGATTCAGCGCCAAAAATATCTTAGCAAAATGATATGTTCTTATTTTAATTATCAATATATTTAAATTATTGAAGATAATAAGAAGGTAACTAAACCTAAAGTCGAAATAAGTCGAGTAGTGTATAAATAGAGCCAAACCATTGAATCAATTATTTTTAAGACCATAATTTGCTATGACTCCATGTACGTTATCATTTATGTGAATTTTAATAAATATCGATAATAAAATTGCACAGTTTAACGAAAACCAACGGGTTTTATCAATAAACAAAAGTAATTAAGTTAATATAATTCTTTGGACTTCAATATCAAAATAATTCTATAATTAAAAATGGAAACGACTGAAAATAAGTGAAAAGTTAAGGTAAGAAGAGATAGATTAAAAAGACAAACAAACGAAAAGAAACATCAGAAGAAAATAAAAAAAAAAACAAGATGGTGTTCAGAAGAGGATAATTATTAGAGAAATCAAAAATAAAAAAAAAGAAAGAAAAAAAACATAAAACGTTGGGATTGCGTTTTACAGCAAGGGAAATTATGTAAATCGAGTCAAGGAAAATGTGGAACAATAAGATAATAAATAAACTCACAACAGATCGAACATATGATAATGTGTAAAATCATATTCAATCGGAAAGAAATGGTAATAGGAATAGAGAGATATTTAACGAAAAAAGAGAAGAAAATAAAATAAAAAGGAATAGAGAAAATGTAATGATAAAGGTAGGTACCGCCACTAATTCGCTGAAAAAGAACATATCATGATGAAAAAATGCTACGAACTTGATAAAAATTATTTATTAAAAGAAAATACCATAAAAATAATCTTTTATTATTTAATTAAATTTTTTAATCCTTTCAAGCACGTTCGAATTTTTGGTTAAATTTCTTGCTTTTCTTGCATCAGACGGGGTGCGTTGGTGTGGTGTTGTTTCCAAATTTTAGTATAAGAAATCTTCTGCGTTTTTTTTGCAGTAAGAAACACATTGATTTAATGTTTTTGCAAAAATCAAATAATTGTCGGATTTTAATTAAGCTTTCAGGATATATTCACGAACAAATTAAATTATTTTAGCATTTTTTCTTTTATAAATATTTGGTAATTTTTTTTCACCTGATACTCCTGTTACTTAATTTTTTGACATTTCGAAAAATTACATTTGAACCTCAACATTTAATATTTAAAAGAAGAAATCCTTAGAGAATTTAAATCATCATTGTCTTTTGTAAAACTGATACACCATTTACAGAAAATCTGCTCTCAATCATAAAATAAAAAAGCAATAAAATTAAGACATTATTTAATTAGAGGAGCTTTTAATTAATTTTATAAATAAGATATATTAAGAACAATATTGTTATAAGAAAAATCTTTTTTTGATGAATAATTAATTTTAACGAGAATTTTTTTCATTTTTTTAAAGAATTTTAATTAGAATAATTAATTTAGTTTAAAATCATTTGCGATTCTGTATATTCTTCAGCAAAAATATATATATATGCTAATTATAAATGGAAAAGTTTAGTACAAATAATCAATGAACAGAAAAAATAAGATTTTAAATTATTTTTGTATGTGTATAAATGTACCAAATTTTTAGATGTTAATATACGACATTTTCAGAAAATAAGGGCGAAGACTATAGTAAATTTAAACATCTAAAATTCAATAAAACATTAGATTACGGAGGATATTTTCCACATTTTTAAGATTATTGAATATTTAAACATTATATATAAAACTGAAGCTCACGTTATATTCCCCAGTTGCATTTTTACGAATACAGCACCTTAGAACAACATTAGATAAACATGTATCTGTCATCAAACTGTCAACACATCAAAAGCTTACATAAACAGTTACCGCTGCGTGAAAAATATTTTTCTGTGATATTTTAAACTTAAAGTAAGTAACATTTGTTTTAAATTAGATTAATTATACTTTAAATCAGCTAATATTCCTTAAATAAAGTTTCAAAAAATATGTTTTATTTTTTGAAGATTTTTTAATAAAGAGAATTACATTCCGATGACAGGTTGCTAAAAATGGCACTAAAATCAACAATTTCAGCAATTTCAAAACGAAAACTCATTCCAATCAATTGCAATTAGTATTAAAAAGTATTTTGCTTACTGGCAATATTAAATTTAATGTATTAGCTTGAAATTAAAACTAAGATAAAAGCTTCAAGAAAGAGTTTTCAATTTTCTAAAATCAATTTTAAATTTTAGATATTGAGAATCTGTGGAGGTACCTAGATCATAGTGAAGGACAGAATTGGAAAATGGAAGAAAGAGAAGAGATGAATGAGGGATAAAGAAAGTGTAATGAATAAGAGAAGAGGAAATGGGAAGAAAGAATGATATGCTGTTAAAAAGAGAGAGAGAGAGAGTAAGAACAGAATAAAAAGAAGTAAAAAGAAAAAAGATAAGGAAATAAAGGGAAAAGAGTGAGAGGTGATAATAAAAAAGAGAACTCATTATGAAAAAAAGAACGTGATATTAAAAAGCAAGGACAGAAATAAAGAAAGAGAAAAGCACACATGGAATGTGATAAAAAAAAGAATTGAAGGAATTTTACCACGGAAAATATAAATAAAGGTATGAAGAAAAGGAAAAGAAACGGTGTAAATATAAGAAGACTTACTAGAAAGAATAAAAAAAGAGCGAAAAGAAAAGTGATTGACAGGGGGAAATATAAGAGACATAGCATTAAAATATGAAAAATATACAGATAAACGAAAGTAAAAGAAAGTAGGGAATCCATTTGTGTGTGAAAACGAGGCGCGGTTTTCAATGTTCAGCGTGAAACGCCAAAAAGCTGAGCGTGTTTCCGCTGCCAGTGTTTGTGTTCGCTGCAGCACTGTGTTGACACTAGCAGAAATCGTCAGTCATTTCTAGTTAACGTAACAGACTTGTGGCGCCTGGCACCTTTCGGCCGACACGATATGTAAGCAGAAAGAAGGGTGGAACGAACCGAACTAGGAGCGCTCGACCGAGAAGAAGACGTCACCAGATGCGGCCGGGCAGCCATGTCCCCAACGCGAATGGGTGCCAGAAATTTTTGAGTATTTTAGGCTTCATTTTATTTGTATTACATATATACCAACACTGAATCTCTCTGAAACACAACACACACACACACACACACACACACACACATATATATATATATATATATATATATATATATATATATATATATATATATATATATATATATATACACACACACGGTGTGTGCATGTGTGTATGCGTTTTTGTTAATATATCTGTGTGTATGTATGTTAGAATATTCGTGCACAGACAAAATTATGTTTACTTAACAAGTTTGTGGCGCATCCCGGGAGATTCTAGCCCATTATCAACGTTTTAGTAAGATATACTCTCAATTTTTTGTATAGTACAGTTGCGCATGCATATATCTTAAGCGCTTATTGGTTTTATATATGGGGAATATTTCACTAGCCGTGTTATTTTCCAAAAATAATTCCGAACAATATCTCTTATTTCTGACAGATTATTATTTACGTTTTATTTTATTTTAATTAACTTTTTCTAAATATTTGAAATCAAAATGTCGGTGATTCTTTGAGACATAAGCGCTCTGAAAGTGGGCAAATACTGTAATTAATGCTTATATTAATGATGAGAATCACAAAATATTCGGTATTCATTGACTGAATTTTTAGCCTTACTGTCGTTTGAAATTTATAAAATATTTCTCTAAAAGCATTTTTCTGGAAAATAGTTTTCTCACTAGTTAACGTCCTTTTCAGAATTAATGGGAGTTTCCTTTCTAGCTAAGTTAGAGTGAAATTTCAACTTCTTACATTTGTGTAAGTGAAATCAAGAACGCTGTGTCATGGCTTGGCTGACGCGGACACCGTTTAAAGGGAGGTAATTAGGTATGCTGTAGAAAAATTCCGTACATCAGTAACTGTTAGATAAAGGAAAAACTATTAATGACACGCGCTAACGTTTAAAGACTATCTATTGTACACATGGAGTATTCGTAATTAATTTTATTGGGGTTTGGCTTCAATTTTTTAATATAGATAGCTTCGAGAATTTTTAGTTTGTGTTTATTCATTTCGTGGAAAAGTATGTTGGTATTTTCGACGAGGATTTTTCTGAATTGCGAGTGTGGACAGGTATGGTGTTGTAAATGTTTGGAAATATTGGAGCTGAGGGAAATTACCATAAAACCAGTAATTTTCGGATGGCCACAACAATTTTCGTCCTTCAAAACCATGAACACTAAATTATTACTCTATAATAAATAATACCCTGATGATGACATTATGTCATGTCGAAAGTCCTCGAAATAAGCACAATATGAGCCAACACTGTGTTTTTCATCTCGTCTTTCAATAACCACACAAGAAGCTAATCTACGAATATGAAAGGATCCTTTCGGGAATAAGTAGACAGAACATGTCTAAATTATTTAACGAAACCTGTCTTAACATATATATATATATATATATATATATATATATATATATATATATATATATATATATATATATATATATATATAAAACTGAATATTGATGTCAACACTCAGAGGCGACAGGCTGTTTTCATGGTAGACGCCATCGATTGCGTCTAGTATGAAAAACAGCCTGCCGCCTCTGAGTGTTGACTTCAATAATTACTATTATATTTATATTTACATACGCTCTATCTCTGATATTGAGCACTTTATCCCATAAATATAGCACGCCTTAAAAAACTATATATATATATATATATATATATATATATATATATATATATATATATATATATATATATATATATATATGTATATATGTGTGTGTATCTACATATATATATATAGATAGATATACACACATATATATCTATCTATCTATCTATATATATATATATATATATATATATATATATATATATATATACACATATATATATGTATACACACATATATATATATACATACATATATATACACGCATATCTATGTCTGTATGTCTGTATGTATCTATCTAGCTATCTATGTGTATATATATATATATATACACATATATATATGTAGATACACACACATATATATATACATATATATATATATACACACATATCTATCTATCTATCTAAGTGCTTAAAAATTCTAAAATACGCGCATTTAAATTAAGCTACTATGATAAACTTCCGATAACATAATTTGTTTTACATATCAATATGTAAAACAAGGGGAAATATTGGTTAATTTTATCCAGTTTGTTTATATAAATATGTGCTTAATTGTCAATCCGAATTACTCCCTCCAAATTAATTCTTTGTTTAATAAACACAGACAAGAGCTTTGATAGAAATAAGTTGAAAAAATCCCATCACTGATAAAACAAATGAGTTACCTTACGACTAAGTTCATTCACTGATCAATAAATCATATTAGAATAACTTTGTTTTCACAAGCATACATTTCCCATCAAAGAAATATATCTGTACTGCCTCCGTACAGATGCTGAAAATAACTTTTTAAGGCGTATGTTTGACATTCTACCAGACTTTGGTCAGTTTTATCTACTTTGGTTTCTCTAGTTTTGTCTCAATGGCGGGGAAATATTTGTCAAGAAATACGCTTTGAATTCCTTTTAAAGCTATATCCATTCAGGACGTTGACGATCATGACTCTTTATAGATTCCTTTTTTTATTGTCTCAGAGGTAGTCTGGCTTCCTGGGAAAGATAGTGGAGTAGTTATCTGTTGACTCTATCCCGCATTGGAATTAAACGATTTCACTTATCTTACGTTGGTTTTCAGCTACGTTTAGAGACCCCAGTCTAATGTGCTCTTTAAGCCAGAAGAGAGGTGGGGATCCACACAAATCCAACATAAAACTTTTATGGACTAAATCATGGGAATAGTACGTGCTACTTTTTGCTGATTCCACGCGTTCATTCTTCGCTTGCAGTGATAATACTTTAAATGTAAATATAAACAAACTGAAATTAGGACAGAGCCAAAGAACTCGGAATATTTAAACCAAAAACATCGCTGAAATCAACTGTTTGCAATGATCTTTATTTAAAGCGTTTTTTTTTCGCAGTGACGTCAAGCAGACATCTCTAGCGTGAAGATTTTATTAAGTTTTTAGTAATTTTAATTTAAATATTTAGATAAAAAAAGAATCAGTTGCAGGGAAGTCATCATCAGGAATACAAACTTATACAGACTGTATTTATGCTTAAAGTAATATGATTACAGAAAATAGTTAAGTTACAAATGATAGGAAATTGGAGAAAGTCGTGCTGTATAAGTTCTGAAGGAACACAGATAAAGATGATTTTAAATGATGAAACGAAATAAATACATAATTTCAATGTGGCTAATCTCCCCCAATAGGAAATTATTTTTAATAGTGATTTACTAAGCATAGCTAAGATGCAGCACACGGCTGTGTGTATGGAACACCCGGTGAGGTTTGAACTAACTACTCAGTCGTAATTAATCTAGCGAGACAAACTTGTTAACCATTACACCAAAGAGAAGTGCCCAAAATTAGTTTATTTTTATAAAGCGGTAGATAATTATACAAAAACGACTACAAAGCTCCCGTGTCTGCTAATATAGTATTTAACAGAAAACACTGCCTTAAAAGCTGATATCAACGAATATGGGCGGGGTTCGAAGTCGCCCAATCATTACTTTCATGAATTGATGGGTTTCGAAAGATTTTATCCAATCTTGTTGGGGATATCTTATTTTCAACACTGTAACCTCTTTCGCACAGACTCGCCATGGCACCCCTGTTGTTATTCTAACGCTCTTTCCATGGAAAATGTTCAGATTAACGCCACTTTTATTTCCACCCGTTCAGACATTTATAGCCAGGATACGTCATGCTAATTATAAGGGGGTGGAATTACCCTTATATTTCCTTTGTGTTACAAATGTAAAGAGACCTTTCTATTTAGATATTTTACAGCGTACTATTAGATTGTGGGAAATACTCCCACGTAGGTATTTCCTTGACAACTATAATCTTAACCTCGTCATGTCAAGAGTTAATACTTATCTATCCTCCTTATTCTCATAAGTAACATACCACCACATTTATCGTAACCATTTAAAAAGTAACACGTTAACTTAAGTGTCTATTGAACCTTCTTTGGATGAACATTAGTATAAGAAAAACATATCATGGCTGACCATCATCACCAATGCTCGATAACTGCAATATATATATATATATATATATATATATATATATATATATATATATATATATATATATATGTATGTATGTATATATTGAACAATAAAAAATATAAAAAAATTAAAATCTTCAGACATACTGGGTTGTAGATTAAAATTCTTTTTTTTTTAATTATTTCTTTTATATTTTTTTTTAATTATTATTTCATTTAGATTCATCTTTTATATATATATATATATATATATATATATATATATATATATATATATTACACAGCATAAACTAAAGAACAAAGATAAAATGGACGTCATTTAAAATGTAAGTACATGTCTCAAGTAAAAAAGAAATGAAATAGGCTTCATGTTGAACAATGAAAGATTTATTCTTCAAAATTCGAATTAGATATTCAAAGAGATGTGGATCTTATAACCGATTTCACAAAGCTTCACAAATATTCAATAGGCGCACCTCCTGTGTCACGACACACGTCAACACGATAGTGCAGCTCCTGCCAAACACGCTGTATCATGTCTTGCGTAACATTCTCCTGTGCCTCAGTGATTCACTGCTTAACTTCTTCTAGGTTTGTATAGGAATGTAAACCTGTCTTTTCAAAGAAACCCATAGTAAAAATCACAAGGTGAACATAGTTGTCATTTCATTAGAACATCATTATCACTAGAACACCCGATCCGTCTTCCTGATAGATTCTTATTGAGATAAGTTTGCACAGCCAAATTAGATTTACGGATTTTTAAAAAAAATTGAGATGGTTTGAGCGAAAATTGGCTACAAAATGATGTCAATTTGTTTCGCACGCACTTTGTTTTAAGCCATTACCATTA